AAACAAATTAATTGTAAGTTTTATTAAATATATAACATATAAATATGATGTATAAGAAGTGATGAAACGACCTATATCTAATTTGTTAGATCTTATACTTATATATCGATATATATATATCGATATAGATACTATAACTGGTCGAACGGAGATAAATAAGAGTCAAATCGGGCCTAAATCGGAATCACATGATCCCGATATTAACCCGATTTGAACCAGATGTTTGGCGCCAATACGAATCGAGGTAAGAACGTCCCGAGTGCCCCGATTTGGTAGATCATTACACAATTGATTTGAAATTTTTTTTATACGTTTTACAATACTTTTTTCGGAAACTCGGGTAGATTATCTCTTCTGTGAACCACAAGCATATTAAGTAAAACTTGAAGTTTTTGTGCCGTACTATACGAATATCAGTTGAATCATTCTGAATCATTTGACCTTCACGTTATATTTTATATACAGAAGTTATAAGTAATTAACCAATATTACGTTGACCAAATCTCATCTGTTGTGCAAAAAAAGGATAAAAAGCTTAAAATAATAATTTAGAAAAGTGTAAAGTTTAGATAGTACAATCTTTTTTATAGGTGTTATATAAATTTTTTTTTTTACAAAAGTTAAAACATATAAATAACAGATATTAATTTTTTTTTTTTTTTTTTTGTTATGAGTTTTTAGAATATAGTGATAGATTTATATAGGTACAACATAATATGTAATACAATGTGTAGAGTAAAATTATGAATATTTAAAGGTCTTTTCAATCGAATAAGAGTTATTAAAGTTTTAAATAATAATGGTTGTAACTTAATAAATAAAGTTTAAAATGATCTAAATCAATAAAGATATATTTCTCTACGTTTAATAATAGTCAGCAATATTTACTTTGAATTTTAAATATAAATTTTAATTAAATTTTATTGATTTTGTTTGTTTCATTATCTAATTTTTGTTAGAACGAAAAAAGTAATTTACTACTCTATATTTTATATTAAATGTAAATTTTGCAAAGCAATATTTGGTTTGATTTTTTTTACATTATGGCTAGCAAAGCAGGCTTTTATTCTGATTAGTTAATTTTCATAAATCATTTTGTGACATTACAAAATCTGATTGGCTAATAGAAAATAAGTTTGAAGCAAAAAAATTTTTAAAGTTACTAAGCAAAATAATTTATCTAAATTACAAATTTAAATTTATATCAATAATTTTTAATTGAATCTCAATAGTCACTATCAAATACATGTCCAGTTAAATTTAAACAAAAATATATATTTTAAGCTTAATATTTTATTAAACATATATGAAGATATCTTTATTAACCAAATCATTTTTAATTAGCACAAGATAAATAATAAATAATATATACAAATAAATTAATAACTATTAATAAGTGTTATACATATATATAAAGAGTATCTCTTAAACTGTCTAGCAGCCAAATTTGCTTTTTTAATTTTTTTTTTTTGTAAATTTGCAATTACAAAGAATTTTATTATGCTTATACCCTTCTATTTTTAAGCTAAAATAAAAATTTGAGTTATAATTAGTTATAATCTTGTAAAATTTATAATTTAATTTTAATCTTATTAAGGGTAGAGTGTATGTCGATTAATTTTAGTATGTAATTTATTGTCATAGTATTAGGTAGTACAGATCTTTAATCAGACTTCTAGAACATCGTGGAAGATCTGTTCATTGGTTAATCAAAATCTAATCGCATTGAAGATTTCAAGACATTTTTGTCAAAGTTCAAGTATAACTTATATTATATTTTTACAAATTGGCTGTGGTTCTTCACAAGGTGCATATAACAGCATTTACTGGTTAGCATTGTACTGAATTATATTAATTAGAAACTCTATTTTATACTACTTATTACATAGAGTCTTCAACATTCAATTATATGGTACAGTATTAATTTTTTTTTAAATGCGTAACTTCATTTATTATTCTTAATAATAGTTAAAAGATTTAATAATAACTACTATTTTATTACCCTCGCACCCAGTAAGACCATTCCTGCAAAGCTGCCTGTGATTTTGCTTCTTCTTCTAGGCCAACAATTATAGTATACAAGGTCAAATAAAACATATTCTCTCTGGGCTTTTGTAGAAGGAGTTCTTGTCATATTAAACCTTTTATCACCAAGTTATACAAAATAATTTGAGCTATAAACTGCATATTTAGCTTTGATTTTTTATTTTTTTTGTTCTTATTATAATATTCTAATTGATTATATTCTTTATCTCGTACCCTAATAGTATTTGCACAATTAAAAACAGAAATAACATCTTTAGGAATAATTTGATACTCAAATTGGGTTGTAAGTGTCTCCACTATATCTAACATTTCTAATACTTTAGTTGATACATCAATAAGTTTTGCATTTTCCTTATTTCGCATATAACAATTATCACAGAGATTACAGGGCTTTAATGTGGAGTTCAAATTCCACTTATTATAATTCCAAAGTGCTTGTACTCGACAATCATATTTGGTTTCGCAAAAAAATACTATCTCAAACAATTTTTTTTGTTTCTATTGCAGATATCATTAATATATATGTACCTCAGAATCATTTTCCTCAGTAATGCTAAACGTAAATATGAAAACTAGCATTAAACTTAGTTATAACTTTATTATATATTAACACTACTTATCTTTCTTTATTCTTTGCAATTATACAGTAATTAGTTCGTAAATCATGTAATGTAAAAAAAATAACTATTTTAGCAGGAAGACCATCTCATCTAGCAAATCCAGATTGTTGAATTAAATTTGCTAAATTGAGTTTAAGTATTAATTTTTTTTTTTTTTTTTCAATTACAAAAGTAATATGTACATATACTTATTGGAAATGTGTAATGAATTACTAAGCATACGTTAGGTATATTAATTCTCATACCAAACACCGTTGTTGTGATTATTATTCGTGCAGTTCCATGATTCCATTTTTCTAATACTCGATCCTTATCTTCTGAAGCTATTTTTCCAAAAAATATATCTATATTCTCATTTTCTAATCTTTTTCGCAATTCCTCTAGCACTTCTTGACATTTTTCTCGATGCGCACAATAAATTATTACTCTGCTCTCTTGGATTCCGATAATTAATAGTTTAATTTCATTAAAAACTTTACCATTTCTTTCATGTTTTTTTCTTAATCTTATAAATTAACTCATTTCTCACTTGATTGTTGGCATAAACATAGGTAAAATTGTTTTCTGGTATATATAAATTTTCTCTTATTAAATTCATTTCCTCGAAAGTACAAGTAGCTATAAGCATTATAATAGATGCCTTGGGGTAAGAATCTTTTAAATAAAATAGTTGTTGATATGACTTTTTAAATTTATAAACAAATTTTAGCACCTTTAATATGCTTATTAGGTATGCAAATATTTTATATAAATATTGATTTTATCATACCTAAAATTTCATAATCCAATACACAATGTACTTTGTCGATTGCAAATTGCACTTTTCGATCTTGATACAGGTGAGTTAAAAATACTTGAAAAGATTTGTTTAATATTAACTTCTCTGGTATTACAAATAAAATTTTTGTAAAACCCATTGCAATTTCATGAAATATTTTTTCTTCACGATTCAAAGTTCCTATTGATGAAGTATAAAGTCCTCCACAAGGTATTCCAGCTTGAACAAGGTTAGTCTAAATATTAATTTTAATTTAAATTTAGTAAATATTCTAATATAAATAAGGTTTTACTAAAATAAGCTTACAATTTGATTTTGAATTAATGCAGTTAATAGGCTTATAACTACTGTTAGTCCTTCAAAAAGAATAGCTAGTATTGCATAACAAAGGGTTTTACCTCTACCCGTTTTCATTACAATGAATGTATCCTTTTTATTTTGCACATAATTTAATATAGCTTGCTTTTGTTCATTACGTATAACAAATTCAAAATTTTTTTTTGTAACTATTTTGATTTTTTGTTCTAGAGTTAAGTAAGAAACTTCTAATTCTTCTACACAATTGTTTAGAAGGTATTTATTTAAACCTAGCTCAATATACGCAGAGCACAACCCACAAAATCCTTGAGCTAATTTTTTTTTTGAATACGTTGCAACCACGGCACTGAACTATAGCTTCAAAATCTGGAATTAGTGAAACAAATGAAGGATAAAAGATATTTGATTTTAATTGTTCTTTTCCTTTATATTTATATGGTATCAATTCCTATTTTTTTTTTATTATTTTTTTTTTGGTATATTAGTAAATTTACAAATTTGTATTTTTTTAATAATACCTGAGAAAAGTCAAATCCAATCAATTCTTTTTTTTCGAGTTCATACTGCTTTGCACGATTTTGATTTCTTTCATGGATTGTTTTAACATTTTTTAATTGTTGTCGCTCACGTTCTAATTTAAATTGACTAATATTTTTTATATCTTTTTCACTATAAGGTACACTGTTTTATAAAGCTCTCGTAATGAAGACAAAACGTATAAATATCCTTCATTATTATATAAAACAGCAAGTGCATGTCTAGAACAATAGGAGCTCCAATAGTCAATCTTTTTGTCAAGGTAAACCAATTTTACATGGTTAAATGATTCGTTTGCTGAGGTTCTGTATGTAGTTACTAAGCCTTGTCCAATTGGTAAACAAAAAATCGATTGAAGCATTTGGCAAAATTTTATGATTTCTAAACTAGTAAAATTTTCAAGAATAGGTTCTCGCAAGATAATTGAAGAATTTTCTTTTATTCAACAGAATTCATTCCAACAAAGGCTATGATCATTATATAAATATTTAATAAGTCCTTCAATTTGTACCTTTCTTAATTCTTCTTCTGTAGGGGTTAATTTTGAGGAATCTTCTCTTCGCAAACTAGCAGAATAAACACATCTATTAAAATATTGCATTATATGTTGTTCAAACTTGTGATATTGCTTATATTGTGGTTTAGCTAAGTATTTAAATTATATTTAATTAATAATTTAAATACCATATATTAGGATTTTTTTATATATATTTATCTAATGCTTTTTGAATATTTTTAACCACATGTTTCAAATCGGCAAATATTTGGTTTACTATATTTACACTAGCCAAGGTTTTATTAGTTTCAAGATCACCATCAACGCAAATATCAATTAAAAAATCTCAATCTGTTAATATAGATGTAATTTGTTGCAGCAAATCAATAAGTATTGCATATTCCATTTGCTTTGAACTAGCATCATAATTTCTATTAAAAACAATTTGTGCTGATTTAGTTTTATTATTTTCAATAGTTCGAGTTTTCTGAATAGTATGAAAAGCGATTATAGGTTTATGAAGGTATTCTATAAAAGATATGCTTAGATTGCTTAGATTTAGTAATAAAAAAAAAAAATTTAAATTTTTACCATCGGGTTTAATTTGGCATAAGAATTCACTACTTGCTTGCTTAGCATTTCTTCCATGTGCCCAAGAACAATCAAAAGATATAGGTAAAATTTTCTTTTTATGATTTTTTTCGATATAATTTAAACATTTTGTTAGTGCATTTGTTGCTGATTTTTTTGCATATAATACTAAATTATCAAACATTTTACTTTGATATGTATAATAACTTTTTTTGCAAGATTGTAAAGTAACTCCAAAAATAGATAAAATGCTTTGTATTGCATGATGTGAAATACCACCGCCTAAGCCTGTAGCAGCAACAGCATGTGAATATTTTATTCTTTTTTTTTCGTTTGTTTGCATTATTGTTGTACCACAATTGTTATATAAAATTTGACTTTTAAGTGAAAAACCGAACATATTTAGATACCAAAATCAGGCAAAAAGTTCTATACTTTTGCAATTTATGCACAGCTGAGATAATATTAAATATATATATTGGTTAGTATCAACGAGTAAGGTAGATCCTAATTACATATTTTCGATTTCATTTTTTATAATTTTTTTCTAATTTTATTTTTTTAGCTTCATAATTATTTGTTTCATTTTAAGTATTAGATAATTCTATAATTTTTTGGTTTAATTGTTTAATAGTTCTTTTAGCATTGGTAAGTTCATTTTTAATCTTATTATAATCGACCATAAGTGCTTGAGTTTTTTGTGGTGATAGATACTTTCCATTAGAATCTAAAGCAATATTATTACATATTGGTTGATTTTTATTTTCGATCTTGTCTTTTAATACTGATGATAAGTGATCTAAATTATTTTTTAATAAAGTTTCTTTATGTAAAGTATTTGTAAGTTTTTTATCAATTTCAAAAAGATTTGGATACTGTTGTGAAATGATTGATTGTATATATTGAAGATTCATATTATCACAAAATCCTAATAACCAAGAAATTGATTGATTATTAGAAGGCTTATATTTATCAAAAAGAGATCAAAATATTTTATTATCCCATCCATTATCTTGAAATATTTCAAAATTTTCATTATTATATATCCACCAAAGAAAAATTAAATTTTGTTGTGAATTTTTCCAAATACTAAGTTTAAAAAACTTATTGTTAAATCTAGTATATATAGTATAACCTGGTAATAATGGAATCCATATAGCATTTGCATTTTTTATTGGGTGATATTTATAATAACCACCATTCGAATTAAAAGTATTATTTTTTATATTCATTGGTATTACAGTTTGATGTAAATCTAAAACTTGCAACAGATACAATATTTCTCTTACTAGCCAACTTTTATTATTTTGATAAATAGCAGTTCGATGGTAAGGATCCAAAGAAATAAGTAATTCATGCCAGATTTTTATCATTTTTTACTTTATTCTAGAATATTTATAGAATATGAATAAACCTGTTTTAGACCTGTTTTTATTTGTCATAAAAAAAATTTATCTGTCACAACTATCGCTAACTTTATAATACTGTAACATATATATTTTATATGTAATGTTATAATTTTATAGTTTGAAATAAAAATTTGAGGTCTGAATATAGCATAAACAAGTTTTTTTTTTGTAAAACAATCTAATGTTTTTATTTTATTTATAACAAAAATTTTATCTGCTGTGCTACTTAGTACGACAATCTTATTAATATACAAAATGATTGACATACACTCTACTCTTAAGTTTGTTGTTTTATTTTTTTATATATGTTGTAGATAAAAACAGTTTATATAAAAAAAACTATTTCATCATATGTATATACTTTAAATTCAATATTTAGATATATATATAACTAAAATTTTGTGCTAAAAACTTTTGTTTAGAAGTCAAACTATGGTTATCATAGTAAAATCTTGAGTTATTTATGATTTTTTGTTTTTTCATTAAGAAAACTGAAAAAACTCAAGATTTTACTATAATAACCGTAGTTTGATTTTTAAACAAAGTTTTTAGCACAAAATTTTAGTTATACGTATACCCAAATGTCAAATTTAAAGTATATACATCTGACGAAATGGGTTTTTTTATATAAAATTCCAAATCTACTTAAATTCTGTTTCCATCTACACATATATACAAGTGAAAATTTTGAATTTAAAAATTTGCCTTGGGCAATACATATTAAAATCACATCAGTACCAGACTCATCAGACATAATCCGGTTTCTTCATCTTGTGTATTGTTAGTGTAAACCTATTTATAAATGATAAAATATTCATCAAAAATGAGTAATTTTAACATATCAATATCATCAAAAATATTACAAAATTATAAAATTAAAAATTTTCTTTATAGATATCAGTATCATTTTGACAATTAAATGTTTTTATTATAACTTAATGTAAATTTTGGATGGATAATTGATATTGATCAATTATGATATAGTAACATCTCTTTATATATAGTTTTTAAGTTTATCTTCAAAATAAGCAAACAAATTTTGTGCATTATATCTTTTATATATCTCTGCTCCAGCACATTTTTATTAATTCTATATAGCCAAATTTCATTAGCGTAAAGTATCATGATATACATATTTCTCCATACAAGAAAAGACCAGTTGTCACATTTTTATTTCTATACTATCTCTTAATGCGTTATGCAGGCAAATTTGCCTGCAAAATTTACTTTTTATGTAATTTCTAAAGAAGTATATAGTAGAGGTCCCCCTAAAATATATTTATATTAGTTTAGCCAGATTTGTATAATATTTTAATAAAGTAATATTTACAAAATTCATAATATAAAATTAAAAATTACATTAATAAAAAAATAGTACAAATTTTAAAAATTTAATAACTTTTGATCCACTGATCCGTTTTAAATAATTTAACTACTAAAATGATTGTCTCAATGAGATGCTTCTAAAAGACTTAGAATTATCAAAATCCAATTACAGAATTCTAAAATTATTAAAGATTTATTTAGTAAATAAATCTTTAATAATCTTAGGATTCTTTGATTGAATTTTAATAATTTTAGGCTTGTTAGAAGCGTCTCATTAAGACGATCATTTTGGTAGTTAAATCATTTAAAATGAACTAGTAGATCAAAAGTTATTAAGTTTTTAAAATTTTTACTATATTAATAATAAGTTTAAAATATATATTTAAAATAGAGATAATCTATTTTTTTAATAATTTTAAATTTTTTTTAAATTAATCAAAGCTTTAAATAAAAAATTTATTAATAATTATAGAGATCAAATCTATTTAAATTTATTTTTAAATTTTAAAAATTTAATTATTTTATTTATTTTTAAATTAGCATAAATTTATATTAAATATAATCAAAATTTGTAATTTATAATTTAATAATAATATAAAGTCAAAAGAATATTATATTAAAATATTCAATAGGATTTTATAAAAAAAATTAGTTTAAAAATACTATATAATTTTTGCAGGCAAATTTGCCTGCACCTACCCAACACACTAAGAGATAATTTCATAACAGTAATTTATAATTTACAAGGGTGTGGGAATACTTGTTCCCTATGTTTATATCGTTGTTTTAATAAAAGACGTTTCAATTGTAGGCATTCTTATATTAAAATTAGAAGTTGTGTTATTAAATTTTATTAAAATCACAATTTGATAGTGATCTGTTTTTTAAACTTTGAGCGAAGATATTCTGACAACCATCTATCAAAAATTGTATTTATTTTATTCATAGTTTTATAGAATTGAAATAAGAAAAATTTTATTGATTAGGTGATCGTTGAGATATCTTCGCTTAAAGTTTGAAATAACTTTGTCGTGATTTGTTTTAATAGTTATCTAAATTTTCCAAACTTTGAGTGAAGGTGTCCTAACAGCCACCTATCCAAACCGATAGTAAGTGTCACGGCTGATGCTGAAATTTTGACCTATTTTATTATGAAATTTTAAAATTTTTTTGGGCCTTTTTTGTTAGGGGGTTTTTTATAGGGTTAGGTTATGGTTTAGGGTTAGTGTTGTTAGTAAAAATGCATGTGAATTTTAGTAGGTATTATAGATTTAAATGATTTAATTACCGTTTGCGCGCAATACTGTTATTTCGGGACACGAGTTTGAGGCGAGCCAATAATTAATTAATTTAGCCGAAGACTTCAATATCTAAAAATTATGTTTTGCATTGGCCAAATTAATTATTAGCTCGAGTCTCGAGTATACAATTTAATAAACTGAAATAAAAAAATTTTCATCGGGATACCTTCATTTAAAATTTGGGTTGATAGAGTGAAATCATAAATAGTTATGCGAGCATATATCAAAAATTTCGAGTATTGAAATAAGCTCATTCATTGAGTTTTTAACAGACGACCATCGATCACCAGTCGAAGTTAAAATTTAACTGTTTTGTTAGTGATGAGTTTTTTTTTTTTTTTGTTTATTAATAAATCAATAAATACTATAACAGGCTTGATAAATTTGATTTAATAAATTTTCATTCTCTTAAAGCTCTCTTTTAATATTGATGACATTTAATATTTTTGGTTTGTCATTACTAGTAAGAATGAAAAACATGTTTATTGTAAAAATTTATTAATACTGTCGTTTCATTAAACTTTCAAAATCAAGGTGATAGCGAAGTTACAAATATTTGCTCTTTCCGAGCTTGATGTCGAAGCAGATCCTGCAATGTGGTGGTCTTTACTAATGGTTATTTCCGATTTTAAGTGAAGCAGCATGAAAATTTCTTGCAATTCCCAGCAACAAGCATACCAAGTGAATGTCTATTTTCAGATACAAGAAATGTTACGAATGCGAAGAGAACATTATTAAATCAAAAGTAACTTGGCAGAGTGATATTTCTTTTAATATGAAGAAATTAATTTGATAGGATTAATATATGTTTTTATAAATGTAAAAATTGTAACTTCTATCAAAAAATTTTTTATTTAATATTTTTAATATATTTTAAAAAAACTCAATGAACATTTGTATATTCGCCAGATGCTCGTATTCTATAGTTTGTAAACTCATCAATTCCAATCTCAATAATGATAATGCGACAGGGTGAAACCCGCGACGCCTGCTAGTAAAATCCGCGTTAACTGGTTAATTTATGTAAAATCCGCGTTGATCAGTTATTTTATGTAAAACCTGAGATGGATATGTAAAACCCGACATTTATAGGGTAAAACCCGCGATCAAAATAAAGAATATTTTAAAACTTGAGCGAAGATATTTCGACAACCAACCGATCAAATTTTATATTTTTTTTTATATTTAAATTCTATGAATTCGTCGAATTCAAATAAAAAAATTTTCATCGAATTTGGTCATGTGGTTGTTAAGATATCTTCACTCAAAGTTTTAACAAAATCAAAACGTCTATCAGAATAAAGGCTATGCCAAATTTTTTCTAAACCTTTGAGCAAAGATATCTCAACAACTGCCTAACCAAATTTGATGAAATTTTTTTTATTTCGATTCAATAGATTCATAGAATTCAAGTAAAAATATTTCATCGAATTCGATCAAGTGGTTGTCGGGGTATCTTCGCTCAAATTTTAGAAAAAATTTGGCGCAGCTTATATTTTGATAGACGGTTTGATTTTTCTAAAACTTTGAACGAAAATATCTTAACAACGACCTTACCAAATTCGATGAAAATTTTTTTATTTGAATTTTATGGATTATTAAATTCAAATAAAAAAATTTTCACCGAATTTGGTCAGGTAGTTGTCGATATATCTTCGCTCAAAGTTTTAACAAAATCAAAACGTCTATCAAAATAGAAGCTGCACCAAATTTTCTAAAGATTGGGCGAAGTTACCTCGACAATCACTTGATCAAATTCAATGAAATATTTTTTATTTGAATTCTATGAATCTACAGAATTCAAATAAAAAAATTTTCATCGAATTTGTTGGCAATTGTCGAGATATCATCATTCAAAGTTTTAGGAAATAAAAACTATATCAAATTTTTTCTAAAATTTTGAGCAAAGATATTTCGACATCAACCTGACCAAATTCGCTGAAAATTTTTTATTTAAATTCTATGGATGCATAGAATTCAAATAAAAAAATCTTCACCGAATTTGATTAGGTAATACCTTCGTTAAAGTTTTAGAAAATTTAGCGCAGCTTTTATTTGATAGACGTTTTGATTTTGTTAAAACTTTGAATGAAGATATCTCGACAACCACCTGACAAATTTTATAATTTATTTTTTTATTTGAATTCTATAATCCATAGAATTCAATAAAAAAAAATTAATCGGATTTGGTAAGGTCGTTATCGAGATATTTTCGTTCAAGTTTTAGAAAATCAAACCGTCTATCAAAATAGAAGCCGCGCCAAATTTTTTCCAAAACTTAGAGCGAGGATATCTTGACAATCACTTGATAAAATTCGATTAAAGTTTTTTATCTGA